TATTATAGTAATATAAAAAAAACAAATTTTAAGTCAATTCCTAATTAGGTCAAACAAAGAAAAATTTTATTTTAGTTGCTTTTTATTACATAATTACAATTATTATAAATATGTATATACATATGATATATGTATATGAAACATGTATATACATATATATTTTCTATTTTATTTATTTTTTTTTTATCTGCTTAGATGTCATATAAAAAAGCAAAACAAAGTGAAAATATTAATTTTTTTTTTTTCATAAGTTGAAAAATAGTTATTTATTTATTTACTTTATGTAAAAAAATAAGTATTTTTCTTGAGTAATATTTACTAATGAAAACGTAATAATTTTACTACACTTCAGATAACTGACCAATATTTTATTTAGAAAGCGCATATTATAATAGCGAATTAAATGTTTAACAAAATTAAATAATGTATTATGAAAAGTATAGGAAGATGTAAAGTTCTGTCAAACAATGCTCTATTCATAAAACTTTTAATAATGGTATTTTTAATATGCTGTTATTAGTTTCACCTGTATGTTTGTTTGTATGTATGTTTGTATGCATGTATGTATGTATGTATGTAACTGACTCTTTGGGCTCGATTTTGCCCTACTTTAAGCGATCCGATTTAATTTAAACGTTGTAGACTTATCAAGGACTGACGGCACTAAAATATTTTGATAAGTTTATTATCTCATCATGATTATAATCGCCAGGATTAGTGATTAAAACACACAGCCTTTGAAAATCATCTTGATCGGCGCTTAATTTTTCCCCTGAAGATCTGTTTCTCCTCGTACACACTATATAAGCTGCCAAGAAACATTTACAGACATCTTTTACCTACGTGGGACAGCGGCACAGCGGATAACGCGCCTGATTAGGATTTTCCCTGTTCGAATCCTGGCTGGCTCGACATATTCGCATTTAGCCTTTATTTTACTCACAATTAAATTATTGTAAGAACCAGTCCTCTGTACCTGGACCTCATTTAAATATTATAATTTAAAAACACTAAAAAACACGCTTTTAGAGTTAATCAAACTAAAAACTAAAAAATAATTGTTAACATAGGAATAAAATGACTGAGGAGAAAATGAATGTCACTGTTCTAAAAGCGTTGGGTGCTTTGTATGACATTTTTAAACTAACTCTGCATTTCGGAATGAAACTAGTGAAAAATTATAACGATAGATATCGAGCACCCCACGCTTTTAGAACAGTGACATTCATTTTCTCCTCAGTCATTTTATTCTTATGTTAATCAAACTAAAAAGTAAAAAATAATTGTTAACTCTAAAAGCGTGTTTTTTAGTTTTTTTAAACTATTAATTTATTACTGAGCAATAGACTTTTCGTGTGTTGTGTAAAGTAATTTTTAACTGTTCATCTTCTATGAAGCTTACGCCATTTTATGATTGCAGTGCGTGTACTTCCATTCGTTGTTTAGAAAAAGCTACTGCATAACTTTTCCACTCAAAAAAAATTAAAAAATCCCCCAAATGACTTATAAAATAAGGAAAAAGTATGAATTTTTATCAAAAAATAAAAATTATGATTTTTTTTTTATAAAATTTAATAAAACAGCATTGAATGTTTCATTAAAATGCAAAACAATTTGTAAAAAAAATTATTTGTATTATCTTGACAACAATATAGATCTGACATTTCATTCTCTTGTATATAAAGATAAAATATAATTAAAAGAACAGAAAAATTCTCGTGATTCTACACGTCTTGTCAATAATAATTTCAATAACAGTTATTATAACATCAATAATTTATGTGGACCCCCTATAAATACATACTTCTAGTAAAATTTTACTTTAATACTGAGATTATCCTTGACACTCCTCGAAAATTCAACATGCATCGAAAGGAGGAAAATTTACTTATATTTTAGGTTACTTATATTTAGGTTATTACTTATTTTTTATGCTTATGTTTTTAAATTATACAAAAAAAAAATCATTTAAAGTCAAAAAACATTTATTTAATTTTTTTTTTTTTTCATTTGAACATCAGATGTAATTTAATAAAATTTTATATTGTTTATAAAAATTAAATTAGAGTTTAAAAAGTTATACTGATTAAATTTAATATTTTAAACCATTAAAATAATAAATAATATTTTAAAGGAATTTAATTATAATATTTATTAAAAATTAAATAATATTTTTAAAGGGATTTAATTATAATATTTATTAAAAATTAAATAATATTTTTAAAGGAATTTAATTATAATATTTATTAAAAATTAAATAATAATTTAAAGGGATTTAATTATAATATTTATTAAAATTAAATAATATTTTTAAAGGGATTTGATTATAATATTTATTAAAATTAAATAATATTTTTAAAGAGATTTATTTATAATATTTATTAAAAATTAAATAATATTTCTAAAGGGATTTTTTTAAACTCATTAGATTACATTTAAAATAATGTTAACAGAATCATACATAAGAAAGACATTCATTGATGTACTTCTATAATATATATTACTTTAAATTTTTCAGAAATATAAAAAAAAAATCAATTATGCATATTATTCAAAATTAAAATTAAAATATGCCATTTTAACGTTAAATTAAAAAATATATATACATTATTAAAGATTTTCTTTCAGGAGCAAGAATGATCGTTTAAATTAAGTAAATATGTTTATTTAATATCAATACTTTTTTTGAGGATATTTCTCTAAATATTTATATAAACTAATTATTTTAACTCTTCTAAATTTCATCAATTAAAAGATTTTTTCTTTAAATTAAGAAAAAAAATATATAAAAAAAATATTATATAATCATGATATTTCTATTGCATAATCATAATAAACAATGAATAATGATAATAATTAAATGATAAAAAATATTACATAATCCAATGTAGCTATAAATAAATATTTTCATACATAATTATCATGCAACATAATACTGAAATTTAGAAAAAAAAAAGGCAATTTCCGTAAATTCATTACAATTTTCTTATACACAAAAATATTTTGAAACAAAATTTATGAATTATGATTGCAGAAAATTGTTAAAAAAATAAAATAAAATAAAATAAAAAAAATTTTAAAATAAAATATTTCGAAAATTGTAAAATAAAATGTAGCTATAAATAAATATTTTCATACATAATTATCATGCAACATAATACTGAAATTTAGAAAAAAAAAAGGCAATTTCCGTAAATTCATTACAATTTTCTTATACACAAAAATATTTTGAAACAAAATTTATGAATTATGATTGCAGAAAATTGTTAAAAATAAAATAAAATAAAAAAAAAAAATTTTAAAAATAAAATAATTCGAAAATTGTAAAATAAAATGTAGCTATAAATAAATATTTTCATACATAATTATCATGCAACATAATACTGAAATTTAAAAAAAAAAGGCAATTTCCGTAAATTCATTACAATTTTCTTATACACAAAAATATTTTGAAACAAAATTTATGAATTATGATTGCAGAAAATTGTTAAAAAAATAAAATAAAATAAAATAAAAAAAATTGTAAAATAAAATGTAGCTATAAATAAATATTTTCATACATAATTATCATGCAACATAATATTGAAATTTAAAAAAAAAAAAAAAAAAAAGGCAATTTCCGTAAATTCATCACAATTCTCTTATACACAAAAATATTTTGAAACAAAATTTATGAATTATGAATGCAGAAAATTCCCCCCCCCCCAAAAAAAAATAATAATAATAATAAAGAATGCATATATTCTTACCTTAGTTGATGCAGTTTCATCCCAATAAGTTTCATCATACTGCCATCCTTGATCGCATGGCGTCGTAGATACATTGGATAATGTACTATTCTCTATATCCAATATATCTGTATAACTAATGTTATATCTCCTACAGTGTTCGTTAGGTGGGCTGATGAGAGATCGCTGTTGTTCTATGGTTAAATTGAAAGCTGTCAACTCCGGGACACTGCACCAGTGATCCGGAACGGACACCATGAACAAAACATTCATCGATAACCAGGGTAGCAGAGATGCAGCTGGGAGGAGAAAAATCATGATCAGATTCCTTTGATACTTTCCATAGTCCCCTACTTCCCTCAAAACATCTTCGAACTCCATCTTAATTGCAAAGTGTCGCAAACAATTGGATTATCAAGTCTTTTGGATTAATATATGAAAAAGAGCAGTTACTTTTGCATAGATCAATTTGTTGCAAATTATTGGAGATCAATACCAAATCTTTTACTGAAAGAAAAATAATTATATGTTAGTAAATATGGAAGTCGAACATGTGTTCAAAAGAGAACGTTAAGTATTGGAGTGTAAAAGAGCTGCATTCCCGTTTAGTTCCGCGGTTTCTCTGAAGAGAGTGTTCGAAGTATCCGCTCGGAACGCGCTTTTGTGCTTTTAACGCGTGGTCAAACAGTGCTGCCGAGTTAAAGATTTTCCCGATCATGCCCAAAGTGCGCGACCTTGTAAGCATAGCGCTCTTTCATATCAACAACGGAACTTGGAAATACTTATCCACGCAATTCGGAAAAGAAAAAAAAAATAATTTGTAAAAAGCGATTGCTAAACCATTAAAAAAATTAAAAGAAAGAAAAATATTAACGATAATGCTCCTGTTACGTAATCCGTGGAACATCCTATTTACATTTCCTTGAGTTAAAAAAAATATATATATATAACTATCTAAACTTAGAAGCCTGCCGTGAAAAAGAATATGTTGTTTCTTATCCCACTTGGCTGGCCAAGCCCACGAGCCCATACGTACTCATGATTGAAGGGGAAGGAAGCAGCTTCTGTTGTGATGGAGCACCCGTAGGTAGAAGTCTGACTTTGGCTCCTTGACGCTCTTACAGTCATGGGAAACCGGGACCTACGGTTTAAAGTGGATTCCGAACCACTACAAACATCCATGGCACCGCCGGGATTCGAACCCGAAACCTGTGGCACCGAGCGCCAGAGCGCTAGACACTCGGCCATTCAGGTCCCAAATTTGTGAATGCCAACGACACGCGGTGTTCCAAGGTGGTCACCCACCCAAGTACTGACCGCGCCCAATGATGCTTGACTTCGGGAAAAAGAATATAAATGTAATAATACTACGTATGTGTAACGCGTAACAATTGACAAAAATTGCGCGTTTGTTATAAACCGCAACATAAAAATTATTTCCCAGCTTTTGTCACGACTGTTCTTCATTCATATGATGTGGTGCATTGTTTATTTTATTCTTTTTTTTTTTGTATTTTTTAAAGGCAATTTTTTCCATACAATCAGCTTATTCTGCTGCAGAAAGATTTCGTTGATGTATAAAGAGGTGACAAGCAGGAAAATTATGAAGCGCATTTAAACAAAAGAGACATTAATTATAAAAACAAACAAATGAACAGAAAATAAATGTCATCAATGATTCCATATACTTATAAATGCTGAACATTTTCTCATATAGTCACTCACAGTAGACGTATTTTAGACTTTGTGAAAAAAATTCATATTCAAGAGACATTTATTATAATAATAAACGAACAAACAAACAAAAAGGCATTAATGATTTCATAGATGTATAAATGTTGAATATTTTCTCATAAATTTACTCACAGTAGCCCTACTTTAGACTTAGTGAATAAAATTTACATTCAAGAGACATTAATAATAAGAATAAACAAACAAACGAACAGAAACAAAATGTAATCAATGATTTCATATACTTATACTGCTGTGCCCAAAAAGTAAAACCAATTTTCCATTTCAAATTTCCGGGGTTTATGGAATTAAAATTTGTTTTCTTTTTTAGGTTGTTGGCACTGTCTTTGACATCTGTGTGAAATTTGACGACAAAATATTCATTATTGTTTGAGTTACGCTTGGCTTTGTGAGACGCTAAAACTGATTCCGGTGATTTTTGAAATTTCTGAATTAATTGAGCAAAGGGCTTGCATTAAATTTTGTTTGCGGAAACGTATAGAATGTTGCAGAAGGCATTCGGTGAGCATTCCTATATCGGAAAGAAATGTTTAGAAGTGATATAAGCAGTTCAAAGAAGGCACAGAACGCGTTGAAGACGAAGAGCCCTCTGGTCGACCATCCACCTCAACCGACGAAGCTCACGTCCAAAAAATTAAAGATTTGGTGCTTGCAAACCGTAGATTTACAATTAGAGACCTTGCTGATGATAATGGAATTTCAAAAGGATCGGTCAATTCCATTTTGGGCCTCAAACGCGTCAAATCTCGATTGGTACCGAAAACACTGAATGCACCAGCTCAAACTGCATAGATTCTTCTTGACATTTTCGCCAAAAATGAAACCCGTTCCACAACCACCGTATTCACACCGTGCGACTTTTAGCTATTCTCTAAACTCAAAAGACCACTCCGGGGACACCGTTTGAGTCGACTGAAGAGATTCAACGTGAATCGCCGCGCGGTTTGAAGGCCATCCCGGCCGATGACTTTTTAACATGCATTGAGGATTAGAAAAAAAGTTGGCTAAAGTGCATTGTGTTCGAAGGGGATTACTTTGAAGGTGATGAAATAAATTTGGAAGAATAAATAAAAAAAAATTATCATTCTTATTTTTTGGCCACAGTAGTAGTTACTCGCAGTAGATCTTTTTTTGACTTTGCGAATTTTATTCACATTGAAGAGACATTAATCATAAGAATAAACGAACGAACGAACAGAAACAAAATGTCATTAATGAATCCCTATACTTATAAAAGTTGATTATTTTCTCATATGGTCACTCATAGTAGGCCTATTTTAAACTTTGAGAATAAAATTCTACCGCCTCTGGAAATTCAACCAGTCAATACTGATAATTTTAATATTTTAAGGTCTCCAAAATATTAAAAAGCAACCTGCGTCATGAATGTGAAAGAAAATAATTACTAGGTGCAAGGTCGAGACTGCTAACGAAACTGAATTGGCGGTTACGCGTGCCTAAAAGATATTAGAGAGTTTTTGCATAACGTTTTTTACCGTCCGTTATTTTTTTCTCCCTAGCGCGAATACTCATAGGAAACATTGTGCTGTTGCGCATGCATATCTGTAATATTGCACTACTGCGCATGCGATTTGAAAGCATTTCTAATAAACAAACATGGCTGCCAACTGATGAATAGATGAGGAGTTGACTAACTGTGAAACACGGGAAGCAGAAATTAAACGCTATAGACTTCATTTAAATAAATTAAAATATTTTTTAGATTAATCTAGGATCTTGTACAAAGAAAAAAATGGGAAATGTGCGAACAATTAATCTGAAATAAATTTTTTTTTTTTTTACTTATCAGCTGACTCATCAACGATGATGCAACGAACACGCATATACGATTTTCTACGAATCACGAAAGTAAGTTTCCCAGTTTATTTTTTATATTAATAATATTTTGTAATGTAGTTTAATTTCTTAACATAACTATATTTAATGCTGATTAATTCTAAAATTCTCATGATAATCTGTTTAAACTTAAGCAATTTTCACTCATGTTTAAATATATTTTGTAGTTAGATAGATACTCAAACATCATTATAGGCAAAACTTATGTTATATGAATGAAAATCGATTAAGCTTGAACAAATTATCATAGGAATTTTAGAATTAAATAGCATTAAATATAATAAAATATACTATAATGTTAAGATATTAAACTACATTATAGAATATTTTTAATATAAAAAATAAACTGGAAACTTACTTTCGTGATACGTAGAATATCGTTCGTATATGTGTCTTTTGATGCTCTTTCTCGTTGATGATAAAATGCTGATAAATAAAAATGTTTTTTAATTCCATCTAAACACATTACTTCCAGTAAAAGATCCTAGACTAATCTAAAAAATAATTTAATTTATTTAAATTAAGTTTCTAGTGTTTAATTTCGGTTAGCCTCTTTTCCTAATACGTTTAACTTCTTATCGTTTCATCAGTTTTATTCGAATTATATTACGAATAGTTTTTAGTTTTTTTATTGTATATTGATCTATAATCATTAAGATTAATTTCCAGAGAAGAACCCCCCTGAATAATATTCCAAATTCAAGATCATTTGGATTATTCATGTATATTAAATTTTAAGATGTATAAAACAATTTTTTCAATTTACAGGAGTGTGAGAATTCATCCACTCCTCCATTTTTAATAATAAAGATAATAACAACTAGAAAATATTTTTTCACAATTTGATTGTTTTTTAAATTACATTCCCTTAACAGGTCGAGAATAAAAATATATATCAATTTCAGAATGGAACATTAAATGATATAATCACTGTTTACATATTCATATTTAAGACATAGATGGTAGATTGAGTCAAATAATAAGCTAATGTACCACCAAAAAATCATTTGCCAAAAAAAGTATTTGTTTACTAGCAACTAGATTGCTATTTGTTTTGTATTGACATGTCTTTAGTGACCAATTTCATTACTAATTAAAAAGATGTATGTATTTTATAGATTTATTTATGCACAACTTTTTTAAATTTTGATTAAATTACTTATTATTTACATATAATAATTTTGTGCAAGTTTCTTGTATTTAAATATTTCAGATTATATGAAGCAATATTTTTTAAATGAACATTTCTTGTAATATATAACAACTATGAAAGAGATTTAAGAAACCTGAATTAATTTTAAATTCAATTCATTTTAATTTTATTTTTTAATTCATGACATACTCTAAAAAACAGATTAGTAAAATTTTTGAAAATCTTTACATTATTATGATGAAAATGTTAAAATTGATTCCTACAATATGCCATTTCCTTAAATAAAAAAAATTTTCTAACAAAACAAACAAATTTATTAAGAAACAATATAGTAAATTCATTTACTCTTGCAATTTATTATAAATGTGTATAAAATAAATTAATAATTTCACATGAAGCATGCAAGAAAAAAAAGAAAATTGTAATGATTCAGTTATATATTACTACTTAACTTTTAATTTGCAGACAGCAGAAAGATTTTTAAAGAAGTTAAAAATTATTAACTCTTATACCAATACAAAAAGTCCCCATAAAAAGAGAAAAATTATAAGAAATAAAACAGAAAGTTGTAAAAAAAAAAAAAAAAAAAAATGACAAACAAATATAAAATTAAATCAAATCTTTAAAAAAGTAACTAATATTAAGGATGAAAATGAATAAAAACATATTTCTTGTTATGTGTTGTTTTCTTAAATAAACAAGCAAATTTATTTAGCACTTATTTAATAGTACATTAGTTTATCTGTGGTTATTTTCAATTTATTATAAAACTCAATTCCAAATATAAGAAGTTCTATTCAGAAAAATAATATAATCAAGTTAGAACAGGAGGGCACAAAATTGATAACTTTTATATATAGTTTATTTCATTTTTTTTTTAAATATTATACTATTAAAAATGCTAATTTTTTCATAGTAACAAATATAATTTACAAATTATTTCTTAAATAATCATATGAAATTCAAAATAGGAATAGAAAATTAAAATACCAACAGAAGCAGGTTAATAAATGGAAAATATTTATATAGTACTTTTAATTAGCATAAAAATAAAAGAGTTATCAAATTAAAAAATAGTTTAATATCAGAATTTTAACAATTAAAACAAATTATTTATAGCAAATAGCTTTTTTATATACTTTTAAATAAAAAATTACTTTGTTTGTTTGTTTTAAATTAATATAAATTTATAATGTATATTCTTAAAACTAGACATATGAAAAATAAAGTAACATTAAAATTAGTCGTGTTCATTCATAGCACATTTGTTTCTAATCATCAAAACAAATTATGTTGACCGATTTTTAAGTAAAATTTTAAATTTACATTTATTATTACTGTTTTTTTTAATGGTTTTATGTATAATCTTCAATGAGCAAATGCTTTATAAGAAATTTAGAAAGGAGGAATTTTTAATTCACTTTTCTTAATGATGTAGTTTAGATTTTGTACAATTATCCTGTAAAAGCTTACTACCAATGAAACCACTAAACATCTGTATATAATAGTCTTGTTTCATAAAAACAGAAACACAACTTTATTTTAATATTATATTTTAATTAAAAATGTATTTAAAAACA